GAGCTCTGAGACCACCGCGTGGATGGGCCCAAGCGAGTGTGCTGGAGTTTGGGCCATACAAGGGTGGCCCCAAGGGGAAGAACCCAGGACCCAGCCAGCAGCCACTGCCCGCCGCCAACGAGGGCCTTGACTGCCTTCTGCCAGCAGACGCGTGCTGGGGTCCGCCGAGCCACAGATCATGATCCTGGCCCTGCAGCCGGGCCACAGAATTGGAAAGCTAGTCAGCTGTCTTTAGCTGCCACGTTTTGGGGGCAGTGTAAGTGCAAAAGCGAACAGAGTCCGATAGCACAACTTACTGCTGACTGTCTGGGGACGTGAGGACCGGCAGACCCAGCCCCCCGCACCCCTGTGCATGTGACCGTCCTGGAGGGACCAGGAGCGGCCCCCAGAGCCCAGGTGGGGACAGGAGACGGCTTGGGAGGCATTGTACACAAAAAAAGGGGGAGCCCCCAACTCAGTAGCCAAGATAAATAATATTTTAATGCAGTATTAAAAAATATCAAACCAGTAAATTCTGGCCTGTGGGCTGGCTGCCTGTTTTTTGTAATAAAAATGTTGTTGGGCTCGGGGCTGGGATTAGGGTTTGGCCAAGCGACGTAGGATCATACAGGTGCAGGGTCAGGGCTTGTTTTTATGAAATAGTTTAATATTTTGTCAGGGATTTTTTTGGTATCATTTTTATTTATTTGTGTTTTTTCTATTTTTATTTTTTTAAGATATTTTATTTATTTATTTTTAGACAGAGAAAGGAGAGAGGAAGAGAGGGGGAGAAACATCAATGTGTGGTTGCCCCCCCACACACCGCCCCCCAATGGGGACCTGGCCCAAAACCCAGGCACGTGCCCTGACCAGGAATTGAACTGACAACCCTTTGGTTCGTAGGCTACTACGCAATCCACTGAGCCACACCAGCCAGGACTGTTTTTTATTTAGCTCTTTTTAAAAAAGATTTTATTCATTTATTTTTAGAGAGGGGAAGGGAGAAAGAGAGAAACATCAATGTGTGGTTGCCTCTTGAGCGCCCCCTATTGGGGACCTGGCCTGCAACCCAGGCATGTGCCCTGACTGGGAATCAATTGGTAATCCTTTGGTTTGCAGGCTGGCCATCAATCCACTAAGCCACACCAGCCAGGGCTTATTTAGCTCTTTTGATTTAGGCCAAGTCTTTCCCAACTTTCTGAGTGACCCCTGGCAGCGGACTGGATTTCAAACCTCCACCTGACTATTATATTCCCACTCAGGGCCGTCATTTATGCTGTTTCCAGACATTTCCACCTGCTGTGAATTAAGCAAATGAGATCAAAACCTACTCAGGAGAAATCAGGGGGCCAGGTGAGCAGACAGCTGGGGTCAGCTTCCAGGGGCAGAGGAGCCAGTCTTCCAGACCAGCCATTTTTCTTTTTCTTTTGAAAAGTATTTTATTTGTATATTTTTAGAAACAGGAGAAGGGAAGGAGAAAGAGAGGGAGAAACCTCAGTCAGGTGCCTCTCACATGCCCCCTGACCAGGGACCTGCAACCCCGGCCTGTGTCCAGACCGTGAATCGAACTGGCGACCTTTTGGTTTGCAGGACGGTGCCCAACCCGCTGAGCCACGCCAGCCAGGGCCCACCATCTTTCAAAAGCCCCACGGACTTCTGTCTGTGGCTTCCCTGGTAGCTTATGGGCCAGTCCTAGGTGCTGGATCTCCAGGTGAACTGGGAAGTGGTTTGATTTATTTGTGTACTGGAACCCTCTGCTTTTCTGAGTTCAGTTTACAGAAGTCCTACCCCTGTATCTGCTTTCACTAATCAGAAGAAATCTAAAGAGGATTTTCCCTGATGCAAAAAAAGGCAAATAGGGGAAAAGGCGCTGAGAGCCCAGCAGGGAGCCCTTATGGAGGCAGCAGCACCAGAGCGGCCACGCCACCCTCCTTCCCCAGGTCCCACACTCAGCATTGCAGCATCGGCTGCCCCGGCTTCCAACTGCGTCTGTGAGCACCTGGGCTTTACCTCGATTTATTCCGTGCATCTGTTAGCAAGATGTGTCCTCAGGTATCAGAGAAACCTAAGAGAGAATGTAAAGGTTGCCTTTTGTGTGCCCTCAACTGGAGACCCAGCCCATGACCCAAGCATGTGCCCTGATTGGGAATTGCACCGGCAACCCTTTAGTTTGCAGGCTGGCACTCAGTCCCCTGAGCCACACCAACCAGGGCAGAAAGCTCTATTTTTCCACAGCAGGGGAAACCTGCAGTTGATCACCTCCCTCCCTTCAGATCTTGTTCGAATCCAACCACAGCCAACTCAGTGAGACCAGCAGACAGCTGGGGTGCTCATGACTAAGTTGCTGGCACATTACAAAGCCTCTTTCTGGCTGTCATCCTTGGGTGCCGAGGTGTGTGTCTGCAGCAGGACTCAGCGGGTGTGGCTCGCACGCCCGGGCACTATTCACCTTCCCCGGAAGAGGCACCTGGGCCGCTCCTGATGAGCTTGGTTCAATGACCCCTAGTAGGATACTCCCCTCATCTGTAAAAGACAGTCTATTTTTTCCCCTGAAATGGCCAGACATTTCCAAACCAGACTTTAGCTCATCTGAAGGCTCGAGGCAGAAACAGCCTGCACTCCGGGGAGACACCAGGCAACGTGGAGGTGCCGCCCACTGCCCCTGCATCTCGGAGTCCGGCCGCTCTCACGCCGCGGCGGGGGAGATGCAGGGGAAAGGCTGTGCCAGCCGGTGGCATCCGAGGAATCCGAGGGGGGAGGGTTTACTGCAGAGAACGGGAAAGACTTTTTTCCATTGCGTTCCCCTGCCTTTTCAACAGTTCAACCCGAAATGAGTCCACTTCAGGGACCCCGTCTCCACTCACACCCACAACCCTGGAGATAAGCCTTTGTGGTTCCTCTTTCTCCCCCAGCGGACAAGCCAGGAGTCCAGGGCGCCTGGGGGCTGGCGGTGCCAAGGTGGCAGAGGAGCCGCACAGCTGCTTCCCCGGGTTCGGAGAGGGGCTCTCACGTTTCCCGAGTGCCAGTCCCATGGCTGTGAAGCGCTCATGTGCCAAGGACCTGGGAGAGTCACCCAGGGCACTGGCCTGTGGCTAGTGTGTGGTCATCTCCCGGGCCGGCTGGCCTCTTGCTTACTCCCCTGAGCGGTCGGAAGGCCACCGAATGCTGCAAGTTTTTCCTTTCCTGACGTCCAGTGGGGCAACGACGTCTCCACACAGGGCCTGGCCGGGGCGGATGGAGTGCCCGAGGGAAGTGGTGACTGCACACACACACACACACACACACACACACACACTGCCCTCTAAACACTGGTTAGTTTATTCCAACATTTCCATTCCAGGAGAGGCCAGCCGCTGATGTTGGCCTGGGTGCCATTTTGGATGCACGGGCCTTGGTGGCTCTGCAGGCGAGTGCCCTTCCTCTGTCCCAAGACTCGGGCTGGGGTGTCACCTCGGCACGAGGCGTGCACCGGCCTCCCGCAGCGGGAACCTGTCGTTTAGCCAGAGAGCTGTGGTTCCGGCTGTAACGGAGGTGAGGAAGCAGCTGCCAACTGGCCTCTGGGCCTTGAACCTGGTGCGCAGAAGCACAGGGCGGCTCTGGGTCAGTCACATCCTGAGCCATATGTGGGAACAAACCATATTCTTACCAGACTTTAAAAGAGAAAAAAAATATTGAGCCTGCCACTCAGGCGTACGGCTTGAGGATGAGTTCCTCTTTAAATCACTGCTGTGTCCTCGCAGTTGGTCCGAGGAAGGCGAGCCGGCTCCTGCCGAGGCCACAGCCAGGCCCTGGCGGGGCTTCCTGGGGGCCAGGCCCACGGGGGCCGGCGCTGATCTGGCTCGTGCTGTCTACCCAGCAATGGGCCTGTGAGCCCTCCGGGAGGGACGCTGGCAGGACGTCCCAGCTGCCCTGTCTGGACAAGCCAGGAGTGGACAGGAGCCTGGGTCATGGTGGCGGCGGCGGGCCTGCTCTGGGGCTGTCTGGAGAGCCGTCCTCTCCTCGGTTCCCCAGGCCACAGGGGGCTCACAGACAACTGTCATTTCACATCTGTCACCTGCGGCTGCTGGCTGGCCAAGAACGGGAAGCTGGCTGGTCCTCCTGCAGAGAGACGACGGTGGCGCCGGGGGACAAAACCCTTCTCACTTCCTCTGAGAGCGGCCGCCTGGAGAAGGAGAGCCAGAGAGAGCTGCCAGCACCGCGGCCGGCTCCGTACAGAGCCCCTCTGTCCCTCACAATTCCTTCTTTCAACCAACTCTGGGCAAACAAAATACAGGGGACCTTCTCTCCCGGGGTCACCTGCTCTGTGGCCAGGGCAGGGCTTGTTCGGCCACACACTGTCCTCACCGGAAGCGGCTGCTTGGTGCGGGGTGTCAGTGACTTTTGCCGGCAAGCGCTCCTGTGCTCGTGGAGGCCGCAGGACTTAAATCCGAGGCTCGCTGAGCCCAACGCACCAGCCTGGGACACATGGTGCTACTGCCGGGCCAGGCTAGCCGGTCAGCTGCAAAGTGCTGCCTCCAGAGTAATCTCAGCGGGGCTCCGGCCGAGCAGCCTAACCCTGGGGCAGGTTAGAGAGGGGCCGGCCTTTCCTGCAGGGGGAGGGGGAGGGCAGGAAGCCGGTGGCCTGCCCCGAGGGTGGGGCTCTTGGGGCTGGGGCCTTGCTGTGTTTCCCAGCAGAGAGGTGTCCCAGTCCCAGCCGTGGCTGTGAGCCACACTTCCAGTCCAGGGGGTCCCCAGGTGGCCAGAGTGCCCAGGGCCACATCAGGAAGGGAGCTGGAGGGGGGGGGCGGGGCAGCGCAGTCACAGAAATGCGCATATCCTGAGTGTGACTGATGGACTCCGCAGGATGTTCTTTTGTTCCACTTCTCTTTTGTTCCCCTTATTTTTAACAAAGCTCTGTGGGGAAGTGGAGGAGGGTGGCCAGCCAGCAGGGAGGGGACAGAGAAAAGAGAAGTCTTCACAGTGAGCAAAAGGGCAGGAGGGGGGTTCCCCCAGGGACAGTCCCTCAGGCCCTCTGGCCGCACCTCCCACCGGTCTGCCTGCAAAGAGGCCGGGCCCTGCCAGGCCCCTGTGGTTTTGGGGCACACCACAGCAGGCCCCACGGAGGGGCTCCTCATCTCCGAGGGGCACCACCTGGAGGGTCCAGCTCCACTGGCCTGTGTGTGAGTCCCTGAGGCCAAAGGCGGAACGGGGAAAGCAGGGAGGAGCCGGCCCCTCGGGCCAGGGAAGACTGGCCAGGGCCCTGGTCCTGTGGTCAGGGGAAGCCCACGGCCCTTCCCTCCAAGTGGACTTACTCTGCAGGCCCCTCACGGAGGACGTCATAGAGTCAGGGCGGGTGGCCTGCTGGGGGCCACAGGAGGAGAACTGAGGGGCCAGAGCTGAGGTCTTGGCCTTGGGTGGGTTCAGGTCCAGGATCTCCAGGGTGCGGGGGGTCCTGGGCTCGCAGGTAAAGGCTGATGAGAATTCCCTAGAACAAAATGTGCAATCCAGGGTCACAGCTACTGCGTGGCTGGGTGTCACAGGAGGAAGGGAGGACCCCCTTCTGAACACAGACAGAAGCCAGGTGGGCAGGGAGCTGGGGTGGAGACGGGCAGAGCAGGACACCCGGAGGCTTAAGTCCCTGTCCCCAAGGAGCTCCCGTTCTAAGGGTGGAGAGAAGAGAGAAAGTCGGGCTAAGGAGGAGATAAGCAGGGAAGGGGAGGCATGCTCCAGGGGACTGAAGGCTTGGGAAGGTGTGGGGGCAGGAAAGGGGGCAGAGCTGTCCAGGTCCTCCTCCCGGCGTTTCAAGGTGACAAACGGGACCTGGGGTTGCACATCTGTTGACTTTGAAACAGGGAGGTTACCCTGGATTTGGGGGGTGGGGCCCCGAATCACAGGGGTCCTAAAAGTGGGTTAAGGCTGAAGAAGAGTCAGAGAAATAGGGCGGGCCCAGAAGAAAGGGACAGAGATTCCGGCTTTGCAGACTGAGGGGCCCCCCTGCCCCCCAACCCCGTCTCCCCCACACCTCGGAGCAAAGCAGCAGGCGGCCTCTGATAGGGGACTCAGGAGTCAGAAAATTTTAGTTTAAGGTAAATAGATAAGCCTAGGAGGTAATGCATGTGTTAAAGCTCTCGGTTCAGGAGCTGCTGGTGCCGCCCACCCGACTCCTGGGAGAGACAGCTGGCCTGCTGGGGCCCGCTAAAGACCACGGCTGGGGCTCAGCTGGAGACCACGGCTGGGGCTCAGCTGGAGACATCCGAGCCATTGTGTTCCAAGGACAGACAGAAGACCGCCCTCCCACCTGCCCCAGGACGGCTAACTGCCCGGGGTGAGAACGCTGCGGTTTTTTTAATCTAATTTTCCCTGAATTTCAACCCCCCTCACTGCACTTTGTTGTAAAAGGCTGGCTTAAGAGGAAATGTAATATGGTGCGTCAGGGGTCGGTCAGGGTGTGAACCCACTGTGCCCTCCATCCGAATAAGGCGCCACAAAGATTCAGTCCGGGTCTCTGCTTGTTGGGGCCGGTAGGTGACAGGCAGCACGAACGCCGGCTTTTCTGGTTTTGCCTCTGGAGCCAGAAGAGTCAGAAGAGGGAATCTTCCCAAGAATCTAAAAAGGAACCTGTCCTTGGGACACCTTGATCCCGGCCCAGGGAGACCCGGGTCGGGTTTCTAACCCACAGAATGGGGAGATGACAAAGGTGTGTCGTTCAGGTCACCACACTGTGACCTGGTGACCTGGTCTGTGGTGATCTGTTACAGGAGCAACAGGGGGCACATTTCAGGTGGGGCGACCAGGAAGGCCGCACTGTGGAGGCGACCTTTAACCCCTAGACGATCTGGCGAGGCAGGCATCACCATCCCCTTTCTCAGATGCAGAAACTGAGGCTCCACGTTTGTGAACTTTCCCAACGCCGCAGGCACAACCAGTCAGTAGCCAGGCCCAGGTCTGAACCCAGTGGGACCTTCACCTGGCTGTCCGCAGACGCCCTCTGGGTCCCAGCCCAAGGGGCTGGCCCTCAGTGTGTGTGGCAGGCCTGTCGTGGCGCCTGCGTCCTCCTTCCCTCCAGCCCACAGCAGCCGCAGCTCAGCGCTGTTAGGCAAGAGGTCTTCGGAGTGGGGTCTTGGCCCTGCGATCTCCCAGCACTGTGGCTGGGGTTCGGAGTGCGACTTCCCCACCCAGCCCTTTGCTCCCTGTCATTGGCCTGTACACACACCCACCTCTTGCTCTCACTCGACTTCTTGGGGCCCTTTCCATCCGTGTGCCCCTTTTCCTGACTCTAAGCCTCAAGGCTAGAGTCCCAGGCTGTCGTCACCCAGGGTAGTTGTCACCATCGAATAAGCAGCATCAGGCACACAGCAGATGCTCTGGAAATGGCAGGACCCCTCCCTAAGTGGGTGCCTCAGACTGGGGGCTGCACACAGCTGGCGCAAGGCCGGTAGCTGTGGAGCGTGGCGAGTGAGGGTCCCCCAGGCCAGGACGGGGAGGTGATGGCAGGACACAGGGCTGTCTAGCGGGCGGTTGGGGTGCGCGTGTGTGCAAGTGTGCTGGGCTGCGACGTTGGAGACGGTGGGAAGTGTGGGGAGCGGGCAGTCGCCCGGAGGGTCCAGGCTGTCGGTCCAGGCTCTCAGTCCGGCTCTGCTGCTGACTGGTACCCGACCAGGAGCCAGGTCCACTGACGCTTGGGAGCCTCAGTTTCCCCACCTGGACAACGTCTGTAGGACAGCTCTGACGACTCAGTGAGGTCGTGCCCAACGCCCGGCTGTGGCAAACACCCCCAAAATGGGGGTTATGGCTCTGGCGGTGGGACATGGGGGAAAACTGAAATTTCCTATTTGATTCATTCCTGTATTCCCACATGCCTCCCTTTTACTTTTTACAGTGAGAATATATTGCTTTAAGAATTAGAAAAATAAAACAAGTGTCTCGAAGACTCCAAGTTCAAATCTAGAAAAGACTGCCATAAAAACTCCCACACTCTAGGCGGGAAGTCAGGCTGGAAAGGTAGGGAGAGTCAGCCCTACCACGTTTTTTAAATTTTTAAGATAATTTTTTTTCAAAAGAAAACTTACTTTTATATCACTGGACTCATTGCCCTGAACACTTCTCCACCCGTGCGTGTTCTCACGCAGCCGCGGTCATGAGCACCGTCCTGGGTGCTCCACTTTCTGAGCCTCGCTCATCTGTCCCCACGGGTCTGAGTGGCCCCATCATGTTACTTACAATGGCCGTGGCTGTTTCACACGACCCAGGTGCTGCAATTCATGCCTTGCCCCTAACGGTTGTCTCGCCCCTAACGGTTCGCTCTTCCTTCCATCACTGATAATGCCCGTGTGCACTGAGAACTCTGTCGGGCACTGGGGACCGAAGGTCGACCAGATCGAATTCCTGCTCTTGGTGTAACTGTGCAGCTAGTTAGCTAATATTAATAAGAAAGGGGGCAAAGGGAGTTCAACATGGAGCTTAATGAACCAGAAGATATGAGCCCATCTGCTTCACCAGGAAGCGACAGCTTCATACCCCAGGGGACCACAGTGACAAGTGGATTAACACTCATCCCCCCGCTTCGGTAATGAATTGTTGGGGGGCACAGGGGATGGTGCTTGACCAGAAAGGCCTGTCAGTCTAACTAGGGGGTGGACCCATCAAAAGCCCGAAAGCGTAGGACGGTCTCTGGTTATTTTGACAAAGCACCTGGCCCATCCCAAATGCATGTCGTGTAATCCCAGGGGAACAAAGAAGCCCTCTGTCTGTCTGTCTGTCTGTCTCTCTCTCTCTCACCCGTGACCTGCACTCACCTTTGGTTTGTGAGCCCTCTCCCCTGGGAGCACTAGGTCACGTGGCCCAGCAGCTTCCAGGGCCCACGGCTCCCAAACACTCAGCTTTAATACGAAGCTGGGACTCCGGACAGCGGCTTCGTCTTAGCCCTGCAGAGGACGCTGCTAGACGTGCTCCACGGCGGGATGGAAGGGGACGGGACACGGAAAACCCAGTGGGCGGCTTCTGTCGCCGCCTGAACAAACCCGGCCACACCGCAAGCTCCCGTGTGTGGGGCCTCGGGACGCTTCCCCCTCAATCCCGTGGAACGGCCCAATTCCCACCAACAACACCAGGAATTTCACAAAGGGGACCTTGGGGTAAGGAAACAAAGACTCTAGCACAGTGATGCGGGCCACGTCGCTGATGCTTTCTTATCCAGTGTTGTTTGATTCAAATGATTTTTCTCTATTTTTCTGTTTTAATTGTGCTTTTTTGTCATTCTTATAGCAGTTAATTATTTTTAAGTTGCGGTGAAATATATATAACATAAAAAGATCATATGACCATTTGAAAAGGTAGCTGTACTACATTTCAAAAAGGAACATCTGAGAGAAATTCATAAAAACGACTCCAGGCAGCGGTGATGGCGGAGGGTGAGCCTCAGGCCCCCTGGGGATGTCCCATCAAATGGTCACAGGAGGGGGAGGCCGGGTCCCAGGGGCTAGCCAAGCAGACCCAGCGTGGCGCCTTGAAGCTGGTGGGCAGTGAGGTCAAGTTGCAGGGCTGGGGGCAGCTGAGCTGAGCTGACGAGAAGAGAAGGAAGAGGAAGACACACACAGCAGGGCTCAGGTATCCATAGGCTCCCAGCCCCAGGGCGACCAGGAAAGGGCCCATCCCTCAGCAGCGCGGTTTGGTGGAGTGCGTCAAAACCCTTCCGTGTGGCTTAGTGTTACACGTCAGCGTGGCTGGGCTGCGGTGCCCAGATGGTTGTTTGCATGTTACTCTGACTGGGTCCGTGGGTGAGACTGCCATTTAAGCAGGTGGACTTTAGAAATAAAGCAGATTGCCCTTCCGTTACGTGGGTGGGCCTCATCCAGTCAGCTGAAGGCCTCAGAAGAAAAAAGACTGACTTCCCCTGATCAGGTAGGAGTTCTGCCATCAGATCGCCTTTGGACTAGAACTTCAACCCTTCCCTGAGTCTCCAGCCTGCTGGCCCACCCTCCAAATTTGGGACTTGTCAAAGCTACAATCACGTGAGCCAGCGCCTTAAAATAAAATTCTCTCTCTCTCTCTCGACACACACACACACATACCCTGTTGTTTCTGGAGAACCCCGACTAACACACCTTAAAAGCCAGCCTCTTTTCTGCCCAAGAACATGACCTTTGTTGGCAGGGGTAGAGCTGCTTTGGGGGAAAGAGCACCCCTGCAGAGGGGCCTCCTCTGGCCGCTCCTCCCATTAGCACTGGAGGAAGCGGCCTTCTCCGGGCACCCGGCAGCTACCCCTTGTTGGCCTGGCAGAACCCCACCCCCCACCGTGAGGTTCTCCAAACCACACAGGGGCTGCTGTGGGAGGGGCAGTGTTGACCAAGGATGCCAGCCACTGTCATTAAACTCTGCAGGGAGGATGGTGTCAGGGCCTTCAGGAAAGGACATTGTGAGGCACAGTGGGGGATGGCTGTTGGGAAGGGTCCGCCTGGCCCCAAGCAGCCTCTGGGCTCCCCATCCCCCCAGCACGGTGAGCTCAGCGGTCTGGGCAGCCAGGAGCCACAGCCAGGAAATGGCGATGGTTTGGCAGGAGATGAGGCCAGATTAGGGCAGAGCAGGTGGAAAGGAAGTTCAGGTCGGCAGTGCCCTGTGACTTAGACAAAGTAATTTGCTGCAGAAACACATGGTGCTGGGTACTAGATAGAAAGGTCAACTCCAATGTATGTGCAAATTGGGAGGTGTCTTGAACGATAGGTGACTATTTACTGAAAGGCCCAGCCCACTGGTGGAATCTCTGCTCATCAACAGAACGTGGAGCCGGAAAGGAAGAGCAGTGAAAGTCTCCTGGAGATACAGAATCTCCACTCGAGTCTGGAATGCCGCTGAGTCATCATCCCCGGGGCAGAGGTACCGAGGGATCCTTCCCTGCCCCCTTTGCATTGAGGTACAAATGAAGGTCCTCAGGGCCCTCCCAGGGGCCTCTGCTGTCTGCCTCAGTCACTGCTGAGGGTGTTTCCTCGGCTGTAACAAAGCCCAGGGCAGGGAAGGGGGTGGGGAGCTGGGGAGAGAACTCAGCGTGAAGCAAGAAAGCCTGGCGTGAGGCTCACACGTGCGAGTGGGCAGCTCTCCCAGCCCCAGTTCCTGGCCCGTGGGCTGCGGTTTCCTCTGGCTGGAAGCCCCGTGCGTTCGTCACCGTGAACTGCCACGCATCCTCTTGGGACAGACGTGCGGGGGACAAAGCACATGCGCAGATATATTTTTTATATATCTCTCATTTTTTAAAGGCTGAACTACTTGCAGAAGAGTCATTTCCTGTTGGTGGCAGGTCAGGCTCTTTGACACTGTTTGCTTCTGATCCTGGCTCGAGACTGGACCTGAGAAGCCCACCCCTGGCCTGACCTAAGGCCGCCTGGGGGGAGTGTCCAGGCGAAGGCCTTTCCCGTCCAGCTGGGCTCCAATCCACGAGCCAGCGCCTCGCCAAGCAGGACCCCAGCAGACAGCGGTGGGCCGAGGGGTTGGGCCAGACCACAGGACCGTCCCGGGCAGTGTGATCGACCACCTCCCCACAGGCGGCAGCTGGAAACCAACCCCTGCCTGTCCCAAGGTGCAGGGGCCCTGGTGGTCTGGACTGACAGATTTCCAGGGAGAGCACCCTGGCTCTTTTGAGTAAAATGCTTAAAAAAATTTTTTTTAAAGCCTGGTTAACAGTATTGTTCCCCAGTTACTCAATAGTAACTAGCCTAAGAAGCAAATTAAAATAAAAATAAAAGCAACCCTGGATGGCGTAGCTCTGTGGATTGCGTATGGGCTTGGGAACTAAAGGGTCGCGGGTTTGATTCCCAGTCAGGGCACATGCCTGGGTCGCAGGCCAGGTCCCCAGATGAGGGCACATGTAAGAGGCAACCACACATTGATGTTTCTCCCCCTCTCTTTCTCCTTCCCTTCCCCTCTCTCTAAAAATAAATAAATAAATTGATTAACTTAAAAAAGGAAAACTTGGCCACAGGGAGGGTGGGGAGGCAGTGGGATGGCAGGTGGTAGGGTCTGAACCTGTCACTCCCTGGCTGCTGGGAAGGCGATTCTACAGTGAGACCTGTGCTGGGAGCCGCCAGGGTGGGGCTGGGCTGCAGTCGCTTTTAAACCACCTCAAAGTCAGGGCTAAGGCACGAGAGCCACCCTTCCATTTGCCATTTACCTAAAGCTGCAGCTCGGAGCAGCCAAGCCCGCCCACTGGCCCAACTGTCTCCTGGGGTGGGGCTGTCCTCACCCTAGAGACAGAGAGACAGGAGTTGGGGGACGCTGAGGGACAAAGGTCATCCACCCAAGCTGTGCTGAGAGCCACTATCTCACCCTTTCTCCCACTGATTCATCCAACAAGTATGTTAAGAGCCTGCTCTAGGCCAGGCGAGAACACACTGGGACCAGCGTCCTGCACGTAGCCACGTAGCCCCGATCTTTGAGGACGCTGGAGCTGGTCGTGGGTCACCTGACCACACAGTGGACTCTGAGGCCCTGGAATGCAGCTGCGTGACTGGGCTTTGGGGTCAGACGAGAGGAAGAACTAGTTAGCGGAGACGCGCAGCAGCCCGGTGAAGAGGAGGGAATGTTCCAGGCCGGGGCGTACCCGTGGGGGAGTGGACGATGGAACAGCAAGGTACTGCTCCCTCTTCCACCCTCCTCTCTCTCAGACAGGGCCCCCACCCCCAATAAGAGCTGAACGCAAGTGATTGACATGAGGGAGAGGACACCCATGGGTGTCACCCCGAGGGGGCATTTGTGCCCAACAGAAGCTTGGAGGGCCAATGGGGTAACCCCAGTGTGTGTGACAAGGGGGGATGTTTCTAAAAAAAGAACCTTCGAGGTCCCCTGACTACCCTCTAGAAACAGTTATTTCTGGGGAGAGAGGGTTGTCCCAGGGGACGAGTCTCAGAAATAAACGGAGCATTTATAGGAAAGAAAAAGGCTGGGCACCAGCAGGGCCGCTTTGGCCTGGCTGAGCCACGGCTGGCCCTGGGACCCGGGGGGCCAAGGCGGCTGGGGCCCAGCCTCCGCACTGGCCCGCCTGCTGAGGTCTCTCATTTTGAGCCCCCCACTTCAGGAGGGTAACTCGAGCTGGAGAAACCTGACCGGCTGGGCCTCGGCCATTTCCAGCCTCGTAGCTCATCTTCAGCCACTTGGAGGGAGGTGGGCGCCCAGGTCCCCCTCGTGCCAGTCAGGTGTTGGGATGGAGGAGATGCCGGCACCCCTGGTCCCTCACTCCCGCCCCGCCCCCAGCCCGCAGCTCGCCTGCCATCTTCGCGCTCTCTGCCCCACAGCTATCCAGAGCGCGGTCCCTACTGCCTTGGTCCAGGGCCCTCGTCTGTCCTGCTCAGCCCCTCCCGGTTCTGCTGTCCGAGGGGAGGGGCTCCAGCCCTTCGCACCCCTCCTTCTTCCCCTGCCCCTTCCTCTGACTTTCTCAGCCGCAGGTGACGTTCTGCTGGGCCTCTGCCTACTCTCGGTGGCAGTGGCAGCTCTGGGTGTTCCCTCAGCCTCTGGAACTCGGCAGAAGTTCCTGTTCCTGTGGGGTCCCACCAGTGGGGCCTGCAGGACGGGCAGGAAAGCCCAGTAAGGGGAGGGCCAGCAGGGCGGGCTCCCTGACCCCTCTACGCTGTGCCGGGGAACATCTGCAGGGGGCAGGGGTGGCTTCAGGCCCGGGGCCTCCAGAGTCGGATCCAGCTCCCTGAGGCCCCTGCCATCAGTGGGCACACGGATGGAAGCACTTCCTCAGCCTAGAAACACGTGGGCACTGGAGGCCCGACCAGTCACCACGGCACCAAGCCTCTCACTCAGACTGCGAGGGCGTGGTCCCGTTTAACACGCCGCCAGCCCAGTGCTTCGGCACAGTAGGTTGGCCTCTGGGACTCAGAATACTCAGTCTGCCGGGCTCTGCGTGGCCAGGAGGAGGGGGTGGGGCGGCTGGGGTGCCTGGTGCTCCGGAGACGGGCTGGGCCTGAGGCTCCTCTCCCTGAAAGGGCCTTTCCAGGTTCTAAAAGGCCCCAGAGTGACCCATCAAGGTCCGTTCTGTGCACATTTGGTGCAGAGGAAGAGAAAACACCTCCTGTTTTCCCGCATGGGGTGGGGCTTCAAATTCTGTGTGAGGAAGCTGCCAACCCCTTCCACTGGCCCGTCTCCATCTTTCTCCCTCCACCGCACCCTCTCCTGGGGAGTAGCTGAGACGGACGCCGCCCTCAGGTTACCCTGCATCACACATCGCCCCGAACGTGTCCACCTGACAGTTCTTACAACCGGTCCCTTGGACAGTTTATGAGCTTCCTCTCCTTCCAGGCTGAGGACAGAGGGTTCTCTGGTGGCGGGGCCCCTCTGTTCTGAGGTTACCGGGCGTGGCAGCCGCGTTCCCCGGGGTGTCTCGGCACCTCGCTTCAGGCCCCAGACAAACACCCCTTTTCTTCCATCGTCAGAGGCTGGGCCTCAGAGGCGCCTTCTCAGGACACCTCCCATCCCTACCTGGTGGTTCCTCTGCTGCCCGGGGCCCAGGGCATCTCCCTTGGGTGGGTGGGGGCCGCCGAGGGCGGCAGGCGAGGCTCTCCCCGATGTCCTGGCGACCACTCTCCCGGCTTGGCATCCCTGGAGGCTGGGAGGAGAGAGGACTCGGTCGGCTTCTGTTCCAGAAGCTCTTGGAGGAGGCTCTTTCCCGGGCTGGGCCGCAAAGCCCAGAAAAGCACGAGCCCCAGGCCAGCCCCTGATGGGCCCCAGCGGCGACGCATGGGGACCTGTCTACTTGTGCAGGCAGTGACTCTCTAGACAGCCACTTGATGTACGACCTGGGCGCGGCGGCGGGTGTGCCTCCGGAACCCACGCAGCCCGGGAACGCGTGGACCGTCAGCCCCCTCGCCTCCCCGGGCCCCCTCTGTGTCTCAGGGAAAAGCCAGCACAACCCGGGACTGTCTCCTTGGGCCTCTGCTTGGCACCACTGCACAGGAGCACAAAGACACATTGAAAAATTATTGGTGTTTTTCTGAAATGCAGATTCGCGTCAGTGTCCTGTGTTTTTTTTGGCTGAATCTGGCGAGGAGCTCCCCTTGGGCCTGGGGATGGAGGACTGGCCCCGCCTCTCTCCTCTTTCCACAGCCAAAGGGACCCGGGCCCTGTCGGAGCACTGCGGTGACCAAGTCTGGATTCTCTGCTTCCTCAACGCCTTCCATGTCTTTAAAAATCACCAGCGTGATTGGTATTAGCAGTGTGGCCTCAGCTTTATCTTAAACATAAGAGTGTCTCTGGCAGGTTGCTTCAAACCTGCAGCAAGGGGTGCAGGTCTGACCCCCAGATAAGCCCCTTCTGACCCAAATGAGAACTCTGTTTCTGGTAGGAAACCCAGTGTGATATGGGAAACTTTGAAAAACCTCTGTTTAACTTTGTTTCCAGGGTCTTTAGGATAAATATTATAATATTAACTATTTTTTAAAAAGGAATCCTTTTTTTTGTCTTGTGCGGTTCTGTTTGCTGGAGCGTGTCGCCGAGAGCTGGGCTTGGAAGTAGACCTTCTGCATCTCCGATGCACTCCTCCACACACACCTGGCCGGCCCGCCCGAGCTCTCCCCTCTGTGGGCTCCGAAGGCCAGGAGACCAGACCCAGGTGCCTGGGAGGAGCCACAGATAGCGTTGGACTGCAGTCACTGGTGTCATGAGATGGCACTCCGGGGCAGGCGGCCCTCCAGGACCAGGGGCCTTCTCAGCGGCTGGGAAGGCCGCCCCACCCCCACCCAGCCCCCTTTCCCGTAGCAGAGAGGAGGGACCCGGCTGAGCTCCCCTGCGGAGCTGCGGTTTGGCTCATTTGCGAGCAGCAGTCGCCCTCCCTCCCACCGCCGGCTGCCCTGCAGACAGTCACAGGTCTCACCGCAGGACAACGGACCCAGCGCAGCTGGAGCTGCGGGGAGAAGGCAGCCACCTGGGTGCCCCCAGGCTTCCTGGGATGAAGCCTTGTTTTCCTGTCTGTTCATTTCCCACAGGGCTCGTCTGGGCCTTTGAACTTGAGTGCACTGACTGGCATGTGATGGCGATATCCAAGGTCCTCCCCGTTCTTGGGGAAATGAGAATAGCTTCCCTCAGGCCGCATTCTTGGCTTCTCCCCTTGGGAGCGGTTTCCTTTTGGCCCCACGGGGCTGAGTCAGGCCTGCGTTCCACTGACCCGGAGGCCTGAGGACCCCCCAGGGTCCTCATCGGGAATTTTACCTGTGTGTTGACTGAAGGCACAGGTGTGAAGGGGGCTTCCGAGCAAACTCATGGGCAGGTCGTGGTGGTGGGCTCCCACTTGGGGTCTTGGGATGGGGCGTTAATTCCGTGTGTGGGTGAAGGCCAGGGGGCCAGGCTCAGTGGCCAGTCTCGTGGGAGGGGACCCGTGGGGAGTGGCTGGGCGAGGCCAGAGTGGGCTGGGGTGACAAGGTGAGCATGACTAGAGACGTGGAAGAAAGGGCTGGAGACACAGGACCATAAGGACGGCAGGGCCAGGAGGGAGTCGGGTCAGGCTCCCGACAGGAACGGGACAAAACAGGAGACACCGAGGATCAGGGTGGCCCGTGCCGCCCTCTTCCTCCCCTCACTCATCCACACGGGACTGGCGAGCCCAGCCCAGCCCCCCAGCCCGTCTGGGAGGAACCCCGCAGCCTGTCTGCCACCCTCTGCAGGCGGAGGCTGGGTGGCCAGAGGAAGAGATGGCGAGACCCACCTGGAGCTGACCCAGGTCCAGGGACAAGGGTCCTGGGTGGGTGGCCGTGCTGGGCCAGCCTGAAAAGGGACAGCAGAAAGAACAGAATCATCACCAGCCAGACACGGAGTCGGTGCCCTGGAGGCTTTTGGCTTCCCCTGGGGAAGAACTTCTGTTAAGTGAACGGATTTCAAAGGGGAAATCCGGCGCCACCGGAGGCTCACCGGCTGGCAGCAGCCTGGCTGGCAGTCTAGTCTATCAGGTGGGGGGCAGACAGGGGTCTGTCAAGGTGGGGGCGGGGGAGTTGCTGGGCAGAGGGTGCATCCTGAGAGAATGGGAGTGGGCAGAGGGTGGACACAAAGAATACGGTCTCAGTGGCATTCGGAGCAGGCGGACAGGTGCGCTGCCGTGGGCCTCGGGAAGCACAGCTGCTGCGGCTCCACGTCGTCCACCTGGAGGGGCTGGCGTGCAGCTGCGGCCTCCCCAGGCGGGACGGGGGACGGCTGGTGATTGCCAAGGCCGAGGCCCCGGTGGGTGCCCACTGCCTTTATCTGAGGAGCCAGAATGTGCCAGGGCCTTCACCTTGACAGGGTTACTATCAACTGTTCTTCAAAATAACAATAATGTCAACATAGCTCAACGCAACCTCAGCAGCCACTCAGCCCTCGCTGTCCAGGACAGCCTCCAACGGACGGGACATACTCACGGCCCGGGCAAGACAGGGCCACCCTGGTGGTCACTTTGGCAACACTGGGATGTTCCTGATAGATAAGTTACTCTACATGCAGTTACTTCCAGGCCTACGGACTGGACCTCCAGAGACTCAGTGGCGTCAGGCTGAACTGGTGAGAGGTGTTAGACCGTCTGCCACGTGTACCCTGGTGGCAGAAACCTTTGGACAGACAGAGCCAATCGCCTCTGAGTGAAGGTGTCTTCGAGCTCACAGCGTGTCCGAGTTTACAGCTCTAACAGAAAACAGGTAAAACAACAGAGGACCAGATTGGCAGGACCTGTAAAGGCGCTCGGCTCCCAGAGACCCTGCCCCCGAACCCCCAACCTGGCCTTCTTCACACCTGTGAAGACCCTGCCCCCAAGGCCTGGCCTTCTTCACACCTGTGACCGACTGGTCTGCTGCTCGGACCCGGGCTGGGAAGCGTCTGGGTCCAATAGTGAGCAGAGGGTAAAGTTCTCAGATATCCTCAGTGCTGGAATCGGGCCTGCTCCTCTGTTGTTCTTCCCATTTGAATGGAGATTCGAGTCTTATCTGGTTTGCTCATATCCTTTTAATTTCCTCTTGAAAATAAAAAATGCTTTGTGTGTCTCTGAGGCAATGCACATATATTTTCCCTGGCATCTGACGAGCACTTTTACCCCGTACTGGTCTCTGGTGAACTTGACTGGATGCTTTGGAACGAACGGGTCTGGAAACCAGCCCCTCGGTGGCTCTTGCTCTCAAGCCCTCAGCTCGGAGCAAGAGGGACCCACTTTGGTCATAGATCTAAATTGTTTTGCGGTTCCTACTCGGAAGCCTCACGTTACACAAGGCTTTCCCCAGTTGGAAATCTGGCCCAACGAGCTTGCAGGTGTGAGAGGTGGACGCAGCGCTCTGAGCCTCGGGGGTCTAGAGGAATCGCCATGGGCAGGTCAGGCGGTGGGACGGCAGGCCCATGGCCTCAGACATGGGGCAGTGGCAGAGCTCCAAGGGTCCCCAGGAGCAGGTGCGAGGCCGGCCTTTTTGGGTCCTATGGCCGCTTCATTATATTCTAGAAATCAGTCCCCCAGCTGCCCCCACACGCCGCCAGTGTTCTTACGCAAAGTCGAAATGCAGGGCTCCGAAGCAGCAGGCTCCCCCCACCTGCAGACTGGAAGGTGGGCCCTCGGCGGGGACGGGGGGCAGCTGTTTCTGGCATTCCGGGACGGGTGGGGAGAAATGGGCTGGTCTTCCGGCCTGGAGGAACACAAAGAAAACCGCGGTCACTGTGGAGAGTGGGGCACACTGGACTGCTGACCGCCTTGCAGTGCCACCGGCACACGCGGAAAGTGGAAGGACCCGGAATTCTTTTGCCAAACTGGTGTTGCAGTATTTTAGTTTTTTGAGGGTCCCAGCAGAAAGTAGGAAGCACCCTCACCTCACTCAAATTAGCTGTTACACATTTACAGTGATAGTTGACTCAGCATCTTTCCAAGGGGCAATGCTATCTTTTGGCTTTGGGTGGCACAGGGCATGACATTTCGACCACTTTAAGGCACAATCTGGCTTTTCTCCTCCCAGGTGAAGCAGATTAGTGGAGTGGTGAGTCTGGTCAGGGAAGACGAGGCTTGTCACGTCCGCCATGACACCAGGAGTTAGGCAGACACAGGGCTGGGAAGAGCTCGGTTTCTGGGCCTCTAACCATGTGGTGCAGGCGTGGCCTTACTCAGCACCTGGGTGGGGGAGGTGGCCGGCAGAGACCCGCTCACCCGGCGGGCATGTGGTGGGCGTTTCACTGCACCGGACCCCGGCCAGGCAGGAGGGGCGGGGCCTGGGTGAGCACAGCACGGAGGGGCAGGCGGGGTGCTGGGGTCGGCCCTGTGCGCACGGCCACACCACACCCGCTCCCCTCGGTGAGGAGACACGAGCCACCTGCTCCAGCAGGGACTCCGGGGGGGGGCACATCCCAGCCAGCCTGTGCCCACCTGTCCTGGGAGTGGGCCCTACGAAGTGGCTGTTCTCAAATGTCAGTGCCCGTACTGAAGACAGACAACCGCCTTGAGAGGACAGGAGACACTCTGTGTGTGTGTGTGTGTGTGTGTGTGTGTGTGTGTGTGTGTGTGTGTGTGTGTCGCTCAGCCAGTCCTAAACTCTGACCAGGGCTTGCCTGGGCCCCAAAGAGGGATAATTTCCCAGCAGAGGTGACGCCATGAGCAAGGTGAAGAGGCCACGGAGTTACTTGGGCTGCATTTGTACAGAAAGATTGAAGACCCTGGCTGGTGTAGCTCAGTGAATTGAGTGTGGTCTGTGAACCAAAGGGTTGATAGTTCGATTCCCAGTCAGGGCACATGCCTGGGTTGCAGGCCAGGTCCCCAGTGTGGGCCATGCGAGAGGTAATCACACATTGATGTTTCTCTTCCTCTCTTTCTCCCTCCCTTCCCCTCTCTCTAAAAATAAAGAAATAAAATCTTAAAATAAATTTTAAAAAAAGATTGAAGACACCACCAAAGTTGGAGGCTACAGGGTTCAGGGTGTCCAGGGGACCTTCCAGGACTAAGGTGGGGGAGGGGCCCCTTGAGAAGGACCCTGCGGGCTGGGTTTGATTAGATTTGAGCTCGAAAGGAAATAGGAATTGCAGAAACGACATTCCATGGTGATGTGTTAGGATCCTGCATTCTGTCTGTGTGTATGGAGGGTGGGCTGCGGCAGGGGGATCACTGGGAGGCCCTCCCGGGCCGGGGGCAGAGGGTGGTTCAGGAGGGCAGAGAGCAGGGCCAGGGCTGGGATGTCCACGGGCTGGATTCTGGCTCGGGCGCCTGGGGCATTAACGCCCTTCCCTGAAGCAGGGCCCCAGAGGATGGTGCTGTTCATCCAGGAAACGCTAAAGTGGGGGTGCTGGGGGACGAGTCTGGGCTACGGCTAGAGATGTGGTGTCAGCAGTGTGTCATGGAAACCACGGAACAAGCAGGATGGAATGGGGACCAGAGCGGGGCCTGCAGAACGGGGCATTTAGGAAGAAGAGGGGTGACGGGACCAGAGGGAGGGAGAAGAGGGAGGGGACCAGCCCACAGTGGTGGCGGGACTTGGAGCGGGGAGAACTACGGGGGAGGGGTGTCTGCAGTGGCAGCTGGGAGAGATGCAGAGTAAAGATCAGAGCAGGAAGGCTGCCAGGGGTCCGGACAGCAGTGATTTGCTGAAGTCATTGCCAGACCCCGTGGGGAGAGGAGAACGGGCCAGGGAAGTAGCCGGAGGCCCCCCCACCCCCGGTGAGGGAGGCAGGAGATGCCGGGATGGAGATGGAGCCAGAAGCGTTAAATGATGGGGCAAAGTTTGGACCGGGAGTGGGGAGGGGGTTCTGGGATGCACGGAGGTGGGCGGCTGGGACCTGAAGAGAACAGGCTGAAACAGGGGGTCAGGAGGGGGTGGGGGAGGCATGTGCCCGATGTGGGGACAGGGACGAGGGAGGGAGGGTCCGTCACTGCACAGGGACCGTTGTGTGTGTTTTTATTTTCACCTTTCTTTCCTTGATTATAAAACCTGTGCTTATCGTGAAAAATTAGGAAAACAGGGAGAGTCTAAGCATGGCCTGCCCTCCCAACACCTAGACATCACCACTGTTACCACTGTTGCGCTTTTAAAAAGCGCAAATATATACACTAAAAAAGTGCAAAACACTGGGGATCACCGTAAGAGGCCAGTAGGCTGGAGCCACACTATTTTTCCTTTATTTTTTTAACTTGAATTTATTGGGGTGACACTGGTTAATAAAATTACATAGGTTTCAGGTGATCCACATTATTCTTAATCTGCTTTTTCACTTAGCTCTTCCCATGCATTATTCTTCTAAAACATCATTTTCAATGCTGTTTTGTGTGACTGAATCCTTTGTGTAATCAGCCTCCTGCTTTGGACATTCAGATTATTTTCATTTTATAAGTAATACCCTTTCACATATATCTGCGAAGTTCTGATCTCTTCCCAGTATAAAGGAGTGGGATCACTGCCTCCACAAGTACCAGGATCGGGAAAGCGTGTGCAGCGCAGGTTGTCAGCGTCCCGGCAACACCGTGCTCTGGGAGGGGCTGGCATACGCGGACGGTGTATCAGTCGACCTGAGGCTCCGGAATGTTCTCTCTGCCACCCCCTCCTGACCTCATCACACCTGTCGTCCGTCTCTCTCCACCACTGGGGCTGCTGAGGCAGGAGTCCCTCACTTAGTTCCCACCCCCTGTAGTCAGCACACCCTCCAGCACAGACTGGTCCCCACGCTCGTTGAACGTGCCCCGAGGAGGGAGCCGGGGGGGGGGGGCACTTGCTCTGTCCAGTGGGAAGGCCCACCCTTCAGGACAATGAGGTCACCACTCCTCATGGGGACCACTTCCACGGTCAGGGGACAGCCACACCGGCTCCCCAGGCGTGGAAAAGCATCTTCATTTGCCTCTACCAAAGTAGAACATGTGACTCAAGAATGAACTGTACCCATCAGTTAGATCTTGTATTTATTAGCCTCCATCTACGCTTCTCTCGGACTACAATATCTTTGTGT